CTTTCTCCCCTCAGCTTCAGCATAATGTCTCTATATTCCACCATTAGAGTTAATACCAACCAAAGTAACTGTGGTAGTTGTGTGTCACCTTGGCTGGGCCTGGTTGAGTGGCTGGCCAGCTGGTGGTAGTTATTCCCCATGATGAGACTGGCAATCATTTCCATGGTGGGACCTACCACAAGCAGGTGAGTAGCTGTCTTTGGGATGTGGTCTGCTTCCTGTATTTAAGGAGAAGCCTTGGTAATGGTCTCTACCATATAGCATACTTGGACCCTGAATGTAGCTGTGTCATTGCTCAGCAGCCTGCTATGCTCTACAGACCTTGGGACTTACAATGGACTTAAGTTAATGTCTTGCTGTGTGGTTTGGTAACATCAGGACTGTGCCTTTTTACTTGTCAACCTTGAGGCTTCTCAGCCTTAGCAGCCAGCAGCTGTCTGAGTGAAGAAACACCTCTAGCTCCAGTGCGCTGGGAGTAGGAGGCAGAGCTGGACCCCAAGGTGGAGGGGCTTTCACTCAGGCCCTAGAGTCTGGCACTTTGAACTTAGACTTAAAGACTCCAAATTGTAAGTATAAACTCCTGTTTGTTAAGGCCATCCCATTTATGGTATATTCCTGTCAGAGCAGCACTAGGTAACCAAAACAGTAACCATCTAAGAATCCAAAGTTTCACTTCTTCCTCCCCTTTCTTCTTTCTTTTTCAAAGTCTCATGCTTCTATGAGTCTGGAGCCACTTCAAGAAATCCCACTCCTGACACCAACTGATAAAGGGGCAATGAGGTGGCATCTTTTGACCTGACCTCCTCTAACTACACAAGAGGACAGAATCACCATCAGCAGCCCAATGCCTATGAGGCCAGACATGCTGCCACCCTCCAGCCCTCTTACTAATCTTAACACCAACCATCACTCCTGCGACACCCACCACCTCTTTGCTGTATTTGATAATTCGCTGTAGTGGCCAAACAGAACTCACAGATTGTGGGGTTTATTAGGGAAGCAATAGGCTACAATTCAAGTTCAGGAACGTGCTCAGGATACAGTTCTTCAATCAGGATAGTCTCCCCTCTGCTGTGCCCTTAGACACACCTCTCTGGACCTTGGCCTCTTGGCCTGGCATCTGCCTCTGTGGGCCAGGTAAGCCTGCTGCTCTGTCCCATGCCTCTTGGACCCACTGCTGCCGTCTCTCAGCTGGGCATCTCTCTCAACTGGGCATATCTCTCAGCCGGGTGACTCTCTCAGCTGGCAGTGAAATTTCCCCCTCTGCTTCTAGGAGGGCTCATTTTAAGCCTGGAAGAGTGGCAAAACTAACCAATCCCAACATCAGAGTTCTACACACCAGAGAGAGCACAAATTTTCCCAGAAGGCTACTTCCTGCTGTGCCAACAGAAATACCCCAGGTAGATGACTTTAACAATTAGGAGTTTAAAAGCAGCTAGCTACTCAGTTGTTCGTGGCAAATTCCACCACAGAGTTAACTGCCAGTCTCATTGTAGGGAATAACTACTACCAGCTGCCCAGCCAAGTTGACACATATTTGCATGGTGTCCCACCCAGTAATCCGGTGGGAGTTACAAAGACTATGGCTAGAAAAGCCACACCCTATAATTCACCACACCACACCTGTGTTTTATTGACTATGCAAAAGCATTTGACTGTGTGGATCATAAGAAATTATGGGTAACACTGAGAAGAATGGGAATTCCAGAACACTTAATTGTGTTCATGAGGGACATGTACATAGATCAGGAGGCTATCATTAGAACAAAATGGATACTGCATAGTTTAAAATCAGAAAAGAAGTGCATCAGTGTTTTCTCCTTTCACCATACTTATTCGAAGAAGAATGCAGCATCAAGATTGGAGGAAGACTCATTAACAACCTGTGATATGCAGACAATACAACCTTGCTTACTGAAAGTGAAGATGACTTGAAGAACTTACTGAAGAAAATTAAAGACTACAGTCTGCAGTATGGATTACAACTCAACATAAATAAAATGAAAATCCTCACCACTGGACCAATAAGCAGCATCAGAATAAATGGAAAAAAGACTGAAGTTGTCAAAGATTTCACATTATTTGATTCCACAATCAACACCAATGGAAGCAGCAGTCAAGAAATCAGATATGGTATTGCACCGCAGCTGCAAAAGACCTCTTTAAAGTGCTGAAGAGCAAAGATGTCTCTATGAAGACTGAGATGCCCCTAACCCAAGCTATGGTATTTTTCAATCGCCTCATATGTGTGTGAAAGCTGCACAATGAATAAGGAAGACCAAAGAAGAATTGGTACTTTTGAGTTGTAATGTTGGCAAAGAATACTGAAAATACCATGCACTGCCAGAAGAACGAACAAATCTTTCCTGGAAGAAGAGCAGCTGGACTGCTCCATGGAAGCAAGAACGGCCAGACTTCATCTCACCTACTTTGGTCATGTTGTCAGAAGGGACCATTCCCTGGAGAAGAATATCATGTTTGGTAGAGTGGATGGTCAGCAAAGAAGGGGAAGGCCCTTAACGAGATGGACTGACACAGTGGCTGCAACAATGGGTTCAGGTAAAGCAAGGACTGTGAGGCTGGCACAGGACTGTGCAGTGTTTCATTCTGTTGTACACAGTGTTGCTATAAGCCAGAGCCAACTCGACAGCCCCTAACAACAACTCAAAAAGAAGTATAAAGTAGAAGGTCTCATACTGTGGATCTCAAAATCAGTATACAGCCAGAGTAGTCAAAACAGCCTAGTATTAGTACAACAACAGAGGCATAGACCAGTGGAATAGAACTGAGAAACCAGAAATAGATCCAGCCAGCTATGGACACCTGATCTTTGACAAAGGGTCAAAACCCATTAAATTGAAGAGATATTCTCTCTAACAAATGATGCTGGCATAGGTAGACATCCATACCTCACACCATACACAAAAACTAACTCAATGTAACTAACTAAATGTAAAACCTAAAACTATAAAAGTCCATAAAAGAAAAAACAGGGGCCCCAATTTATGACATAAATAGACTATCAAAGAACTCAAAATGCACAAACAGCAAAAAATTAACTAGATGACCATGACCTTCTAAAAATTAAATTCTTATGCACATCAAAAGACTTCTCCAATAAAGCAAAAAGAAACACTACAGAGTGAGAAAAAATATTTGGTAATGACATATCTGATGAGGGAGTTACCTCTAAAATTTATAGAAAAATTCAACATCTCAACATCAAAAAAAATCCAAATGATCCAATTAAAAAATGGGCAGAGGACACAAACTTTACCAAAGAAGATTATGTATGTAGCCAACAAACACATGAAGAAATGCTCATGATTTTCAGCCATCAGACAAATCAATACAATAAGGTACCATCTCACCCAGCAATAAAAGCAAAGTTTAAGGCAGAAAACAGGAGCTCTGGTAGCGTAGTGCCTTAGGCACTTGACTGCTAACCAGAAGGCTGGCAGTTCAAATACACCAGCCACTCCTCTGAAGGAAGGTTGGGCAATCTACTTCCGTAGTGATACTGCCTCGGAAAACCAAGGAGGGGTCACTATGAGTCAGGTCCAACTCGATGGCACATAACAACAACAACAAGGCAGAAAACAACAAATACTGGTGAAAGTGTGAAGAGACTAGAACTCTCCCACACTGTTGGAAGGATTGTAAAATGGTACAGTCACTGTGGAAAATTGTATGGCGCTGCCTCAAAAAGTTGGAAATAGAAACACTATTTGAACTAGCAATCCCACTACTAGCTATAGATCCTAAAGAAGTAGGAGCTGGGACACAAATACGCACACCCACGTTCACTGCAACACTATTCATGATAGAAAAGAAATGGAAACAACCTAAGCACCCATCAGTGGATGAATGGATAACCAAACCATGGAACATACACATAACGGAATACTACGCAACACTGAAGAATACATGGATGAACTTGGAAGACATTATGTTGAGTGAAAGAAGTCAATCACAAGACAAATATTATATGAATCTAGTATTATAAAAAGTCAAAGAAAGGATCACACAGAAAGAAACATTCTTTGATGGTTACCAGGGATGGGAGGTGTTCATTCATGTTATGAGGTGTTCCACTGGGACTGTGGGCTCAGGACCATAGTTCCGGGGGATATCAAGCTCAATTGAAATAACGCAGTACACAAAAACAGTGCTCTACAATCCTACTTTGATGAGTAACAACTGGGGTTTTAAAAGCTTTCAAGTGGCCATCTTAGATGCAACTATTGGTTTCTCCTCATCAAGAGCAAAGAAGAGTGAAAAAAAACAAAGACACATGGAAAAAATTAGTCCAAGTAACCAGTGGAAACTCAGCCTACACGGCCCTGAGGCCAGAACTAGATAGTGCCTGGCTATGACTGCAACCACTCAGAAAGGGATAAAAATTGGAAATCTTGGATAAAGTGGGAAAGAAATGTGAAACAAAACTCAAAATCATAAAAAAAAAAGACCAAGATTACTGGTCTGATAGAGATGGTGAAACCCCCAAGACTATGGCCTTTAGTTACCCTTCAGGCCTGGAACAGAAAGCACTCCTATGGCTCAACTTTCAGCCAGCCAAACACCAGACTGTCCTACAAGATGAACATTTACACCAGGGAGGTACACACTCCTTAGAACAATCAATCATAAGAGATCAAAAGGGAGGTATCTGCATAGGAGTGAAGCTCAGAAGGCAGGGATGTGTAGGAAAGAAGGACACAGGGAAAAGGTAACCACAGGGAGAAAGTGGGAAAACAGTTGTCACGTTGTGGGGATTTCAATCAATGTCCTAAAACAAAATGGCTAAGAACTATTGAATGGAAAAATGATTTGCTTTGTAAACTTTCATCCAAATCACAATACAAAGTTTAAAAAAAAAAATCCTATTGGACCCAATCTTCTCATCGATCTACATTTTCTCTAATTATACATTTCCTTTTTATCACATGTATTTTAGGGATATTTAAGTTATTGAATAAATAGATAGATGACTGCCTTACCTGGAAGTTGATCACTTTCTGCAGCTCTTGGACCGAGATCTACGAAAATAGAAATGGGGAGGAGTATACAAAGACATGAGAGACCAGGACTGAAATGTAGAACCCTGAGCTATCAGACCAAAAGCACTCACAATGCAGCCTCAGAAAATTCACCTAGTGGGAGAATAACCTTTCAGAATGTCAAAAGTCCATATTTCATAAGCATCAATGTCTATCCTGATTCTATTATGAATATATGGAACTTAGACAAAGACATTGTGCATTTCTGTCCTACTGATCTAACAATCAGTTGTTAACCTTTGAGTCAGTGATTTTCTTTCTCTCCCAAAAACTTATCCTAAGGAAGTAATAATGAATGAGTAAAAAGACTAAAATTATTCCTTTCTCTGAGCCTCTGGTTTCTACACTGAAATTGGGGTAAGAGATCTCAAATTAGGATAGGCTTTCCTGGGAATGCTGGATCCAAGGGCCCAGGAACAATTAACCTGGTTCCAACTTTCAGGAAACTCACCATTTTCTACAAGTCCAATTTAAGCTTTTTGAAATTCTAGCCAGCACTGCTGAGACCCTAGAAAGGATAAAATGTGCAAGAGGGTGGCACAGCTTCAGTTCAATCTTCACTGGAATATATGCAGATACACCAAGAGATCCTGAAAAAATGACCAAAAACCAAAATTTACTCACTATTCATTGTTTAAACATTTCAAAGGGAGAATAAACTCAACTCTGTTTTAGGAAAGGTGCAATGTTGTGAAGAAGAATGAAATGTACAGAAAATTTAGTGTTTGAATGTCAACTCTTCCATTTACTAGGGGAGTGGTGTGAGTCTAAAGTAACTTCACTTCTCTTCAATTTCAGTTAATTGATACGAAAAATGGTGCCAAGATTTACTTCACCTGATTGCTGTGAGAGGCCACTAAGAAGAATGTATTGTAGTTTCTCTCAAAATGCTCTCTTCCCAAGTCCCTTGAAATGGCTTAAAATTTCTGGTTGCTTGCTCCGGTAGGACCAATAGTGGGCTGGAACCAGAAAAGGTACAGTAGGATGCACAGACACCTACATACTAACCTCTACAAAAAGGCAGGAATGCAAACAAGAGCTTGCTCCAGCCCCACCCAGGCTATGGGTACTCGCCCAGCGCCAGTCGGAGCCGTGCTCATGCTTTCTCTGATGTATTCCAGATTTGGATAGACCCATACACTCAATCAAAAAGTCACCAAAGGTGGGAGTGTTAAGTTTTAGATTTGGCCAGTTAAATCTACAAGCCAGTCTGATTTCTCTCTGCCTTTGACTTCCTTCTCCCTAGTCCCGTAGTCATACCTGCCACCCTTTCACCGCCAAACTACCAGTTACTGCTCTAAACCTGTAAGGAGGTAATAGCGTCCTCCCAAGACTTGGGGGATACTTCTACTCTCACCTCAAGCCAAGCCGGACTGAAGACTGCAGACGACCCGCTACCGCCCCAATGCGCATGTGCGGAAGTAACTGCTTACCCACTTCTAGGCCATCTACCAGAGACTACATTTCCCATAAAACTCCGGGAGCTCGTTTTCGGAAAGCGTCAGCAGTTCTTCCCTCTTTTGGGGGAGAGTCCTATTTCAGTATCTCTGAGGCTGCCCTGAGAGACGTGCTTATTTTTAAAAGGGAAATATGTATGGATGGATTTCATTCAAAAAGATAGATATCCCAAGTTATAAATACGAGAAAATCGAAACCAGCAATATGCTAAAAGAATAATTTACCCTTATCCAGAGAGTTTCTTCCAGTTTTACAGTAGCTAGCGTAAGTCAGGGAGATGAAGGGGACCCAACGGTGAAGACAAAGAATGATCCATGGGATAGGTGGAAAAAGTAGGAGTTTGGATCTGTACAACCAAAGAAAGAAAATGTTTCAAGAAGGAAGGGGTAATCAGTATGTCTAATGCTGCTGATAGGTCAAGTGAGATGAGAGCTAAGAATTGACCATTTAGGGTACAACCACTGTGGAAAGTGGTATGGTGCTTCCTTAAGAAGTTGGAAATAGAAATATATAATCCACAATACCACTAAAAACAAACAAACAAACAAACATACTGCTGTCCAGTTGAATCTGACTCATAGTGACACCTCCTTGGGTTTCTGAGGTGTATGTCTACGGAAGTCTTCCTTCCGAGGAGTGGCTGGTGAGTTTGAACTGCCAACCTTCTGGTCAGCAGTCAAATAGCTTAGGCACTACACCACCAGAACTCCCACTAGCAGGTATATATGCTAGAGAAATAGGAGCCATGTCATAAACAGATATATGCACACCCATGTTCAACATAGCCTTATTCACAATAGCAAAAAGATGGAAACAACCTAAGTGCCCATTAACGGATGAATGGATAAATAAACCACAGTATATACACACAAGGGAATACTACCGTAATGTTAAAGAATAACAATGAATCTTCTAAATACCTCGAAACATGGATGAACATAGAGGACGTTATACTGAGTGAAATTAGTCAATCACAAAGGACAATTACTGTATGAGACCACTACTGAAAAAAGTTAAGAAAAGGTTTACACACTGAAAGAATTGCTCTTTGAAGGATACCAGGGATAGGAAGGGAAAGGAGGGACAATCACCAACTAGAGGGTAAACCAAAAACCAAACTCACTGCTGTCGAGTCAGATCCAACTCACAGCAACCCCTCCTTGAGTTTCCAAGGCAGTATCACTATGGAAGTAGATTGCCCATTCTGAGGAGTGACTGGTGTGTTTGAACCACCAGCCTTCTGGTTAACAGTCAAATGCCTTAGGCACTATGCCACCTGTTAACTTGGTTGAAGGGAAAAGCAATATACAATAAGGGGGAGGTCAGCACAAAATGATCAAGGCAGTGGAAGACAGGGAGGAAAACAGTTAAAGGCAACAAAGGTGAATATTATTACATACATAATCCTGCAGTGATAGTAATGATAATTTACAAGTGGATGCATAGACACTCAATCTGAACGGGGTGGGGGGAGGCATATGTATTTACATATGTTTGACAGGCTATCTCTACTTGTGTATTTATATGTCCTGTGAATATATAGATGAATGTAGTAGAACAGACAGGGGGCAAAGTTATTAAAACATCTTAGATGTAACCAAACAGCTTGAGGGAATGAGTTTCTGAGTATAGAGGCTCAGGACCATAGTACTGGGGGACACTAGGTCACTTGGCATAACATGGTCCACAAAGGCAATGTTCTATATCCTACTTTGGTAAGTAGCAACAGCAGTCTTAAAAGCTTGTGAGTGCCCATCCAAAGTAGTCTCTCCCCAGCTGCTGCAAAAAGTAAAGAAAATCAAATAAGCAGGAAACAATTAGTCCAAAGGACTAATGAAGCATGTGAACCCCAGACTCCATGACCCTGAGACTAGAAGAACTAGATGGTGCCCAGCTACCACCGCTGACTGCTCTGAAAGGGATCACAATAAGAGGTCCCAAGTAGAACTGTAAAATGGTACAACCATTGTGGAAAGCAGTATGGCGATTCCTTCAAAAGTTGGAAATACAAATACCATTTGACCCAGCCATCCCATTAC